AGAGTCAATATTCATATGTTTAGTAACGAATAAGTACAGAAATCTTCAGTTTAAATATGTGCCTATGGATATGAGTGTGAAAGAAAGTGTGATCGCGTATGTGTGTGCGGCGGGGGGAGCAAAAGGGCGAAAGGGAATGAGAGATTGGAGGGAGAGAGAGGGAGAGGGATAGACGGACAGAGATCGAGAGAGAGGAAGAGAGAGAGGGAGAGAGAAAGGGAGAGAGAGGGAAAGAGAGAAAAGGAGAGAGAGGGAGAGAGAGGGAGAGGGCGAGAGTGGGAGAGGGTAAGAGGGAGAGGTCGAGACAGGGGGGGAGGTCGAGAGAGAGAGGGCGAGAGAGAGAGAGGGCGAGAGAGGGAGAGAAAAAGAGGTTTAGAGTGGGAGAGGTTGAGAGAGTGTGAAAGAGGGAGAGAAAGAGGCGAGAAGGAGAGAAGGAGAGAAAGAGAAGGAGAGAAAGAGAAGGAGAGAAAGATAAGGAGAGAAAGAGATGGAGAGTAAGAGAGAGGGAGAGAGGGGGAGAGAGAGGTAGGGAGAGGGAGAGAGAGGGCGAGAGAAGGAGAGAGGGAGAGAGGGAGATGGCGAAAGAGGGTGAGAGCGAGAGTGGGAGAGGTCGAGAGAGGTCGAGAGAGGGAGAGGGCGAGAGAGGGAAAGAAGGAGAGGGCGAGAGTTGGAGAGGTTGAGAGAGGGAGGGGCGAGAGAGGGAGAGGGTGAAAGAGGGAGAGAGAGGGAGAGAAAGGGAGAGATAGGGAGAAAGAGTTAGGGAGAGAAAGAAAGGAGAGGGAGAGAGAGGAAGAGAGAGGGAGAGGAGAGAAGTAGAGAGAGGGAGGAAATAGATGGAGGGGGAGAGAGTGAGAGAGAGGGAGGGAGAGGGTGGAGGGAGATGGAGAAAGGGAGAGGGTGAGAGAGAGCGAGAGGGCGAGAGAGGGAGAAAGGGTGAGAGGGCGAGAGGGGGAGAGGGCGAGAGAGGGACAAAGATGGAGGGAGAGAGATGGAGGGAGAGAGATGGAGGGACAGAGGAGAGACAGGGGGGAAAGAGAGGGAGGGAGAGGGAGAGAGAGGGAGATGGAGATAGAAGGGAGAGGGATTGGGGAGACAGAGAGAGAGTGAGAGAGAGAGAGAGACCTTGTTCTTAATATTTTCTGAACTTTTCGCTTTTCTAATAGTAGAACTAAAATGTTATTTTAAATACATTATTGAAGAGTAAAACCCCATGCTATTAGGAAATTTTCGTTGCAGAATTTGGTGCCGTTTTTGGAAAATGGTTTTTTTAGCGTTACATTAAATTTGAAGCTCAACCTGTAGTACTCCGTATACACGAACATATATGAGACGCTCGAGTGGAAAAGACCGATCAGTATTAGGTAAAACCCACACAACAAAACAATTGTTTATGCGCTCCCGTACTTCTTGGCCTCATAAAATTTGTACATGAGGAGGTGAAAAGTCAAAAGGAAATTAATATTATTGAACGAAGGGGGGGGGGTTAAAACGGAAGAATCGCCAGACATCATCCTCCAGAGCAGGCTGTGGCCTCCCTCCATTCCCCAAGTGGAGGTCTGGGCTTCGAAGCGCGAGACGAGAGCGATGGCGATGGTGGAGGTTTCCGTGAGGGCGGAGGTAGAGGTGGAGGCGGAGGCATGGGGTGGTGGCGGC